GATATAAGGAAGAAATTCTTTACAATGAGGGTGGTGAAACACTGGCACAGGTTGCCCAGAGAGGTGGTGGAGGCCCCATCCCTGGAAGCATTCAAGGCTAGGTTGGATGGGGCTCTGACCAACCTGATCTAGTTAGCAGTGTCCCTGCTCACTGCAGGGGGGTTGGACTAGATGACCTCTAGGGGTCTCTTCCAACCCAAAACATTCTATGATTCTATGAACAGCTGGTCTCCGGTTAAATCCACCCTGTTCTCTCCGAGTCTGATGTAGCTAGTGCTGTGCGTCAGCGGAGCGGTGTGGTGGGAGCAGTGTGGTGGGCTGTGGCTCTTGTTGGCACAGCTGCTGTGGCACATGCTTCACCTTTACAAGAAAGATCACGCTGGTGCAGATCTGCTGTTGGGCTGTTCAGAAGTGACCTCTACCCACCTTGATGTACACAATGGAGGGAGCACATCCTGGCATCGGGAGCTGTAAAACTTCAGGTTGTGTTTTCTTGTATAAAACCACAGAAACCCCTCCTGCTCACTGAGGGTGGCTGCTCGTCGGGTTATGGAGACTGGTTTCTCCCTGCTTTAAGGTGGGGTGCTCTGGGACAGATGCCACAGCACCCCTGCTCTCTTCGTTCTTGGTGGTGCACTGTCATCTTAAGACACTGAGATGATTCTGACTGCCTCACAGGTGTGATGCAAGGAGAGATGACATAGTTGGGGAGTAGAAGGACCACCTTTCAGTCTTAAATACTGCTTTTCAGTTGCAAATATTGCAAAAAGTCGCATTTGCTACAAGCACATCAAAACTTGAAAGGTTTCCTGACGCAGCTTTTATCTTAAAACAAGAAACGATAGATAGATAGATAGATTAATGAATATTCAGTTCCTTCACAAACTGCTTTGCAACCAGATTAACTATAACATGGGTCATATGATCTTAACTAAAGCTTTAATTTGTTTCACTGGCATGTGACATGTTATGCAGTCCCAAATTTAGGGACAACACTGGCCTGTCATGTGTCTCTTAGCATGGGACCAACCCAAGCTCAGTAGCCTCGATAATTTACTGCAGATGATGAGCTTGTTTGGGCTGGCATGTAGGGCCTGCTCCCAGAGACAGACACAGACAGACAGTGATTCAGAGAGAAGTGCAACTCTGGCCTGAGATCAACTGGAGAGAGAAGTGTCCTCTTCCTCACCCTATCCAGGTCCAAAGTCTGATTCGTCCTGTGACAGTATTTTTGTTTGTCACAAGGTAAAGCAAAAACAATCGTGTGAGGGTTACACGCAAATGGGCTGCTAGGCGAGAGGGGCTGTTCAGGTCACTCAACTGGCTGTTAACATTTATTTCGATGTGGTGAAGAAGGGATTTGAAGCCTGTGGGAACTTTCTGTTGTTCCACAGAAGGATGTTGTCCAGAGCCCCATTAGCTCTCTTGCTAGGTCCATCTGTGCTGAAGAGCATGTTGCACGTGAACATGAGTGTCTGAGTACAGGTCAGGTTGCTGGGCAAAACTGGTTTTAGCTAGCACTCCCTTCAGGCCAGCCTTCCCAGTGCCAAAGAGCAGAGCTCCAGCTCTGTGCTGTGGAGAGGTCCTCCGTTTCTGTCCTTCCTACCTCCAGTATCTGTTTAAATTTGGGCTTGGGTTTGCAGAGCCACGTGCCTCCAGCAAAGTCGTGGCCTCACCAGTGCTGGAGGTGAGGCTGCAGCATGAGCTGGACACCTCGAAGCATGATTATCTTTGTCCAACAGTTTGAATTCTGCTCACGAGTATCTTCTACTGCCGACAGGTAACATATACCCATCATGCAGGTGCACTGGAACAGACTTGGCCCTCCCTTGTTCCCAGTCCCCCCCTGCAAAGGGGAACTAAAGTCAATAGATGTGATTGAACTTTTTAAGATCAGACTTAGCTAGGCGATGCTTACCCTTCGAAGCCAAGCATTTCCAAATAACAGAATACATGGCAAACTATCTTCCTCTCTCTTCTATCACCAGTATTCACGTTGGCCCAAATTCAAGTGACATGCCGGTGAACAGACTTCACAAAGGTGACAGGCATGTGGTGGCTGCAGCTTTGCAGTTTGTGTTGTTTGTTTACTGATATCCTCAACACGTGAAGAATTAAAGGAGTGCATGTATTATTTGTAGGGGTCAGGCTTCCGGGGAGCACTTGCTAAGCTGCCAATCAAAAAATCTTAAAACCCAAATAGATTACTGACCTTTGAAGGTGGTATGTTGTTTGTGTGGCAGGGCATGGAAAAAGGGAGACATGTAATGAAGTTCAAAGTTCAGAACATGAGGAGACTTTTG